CACCACATTATAAAAATAAATAAAAGTGTTGTGTCCATCTACAATTAAAAAAATATTTAAAAAGAAACAATCTGCAGACAGACCTATTATTGATTTGAAACTGTTTACAAATATCTACATTTAAGTTATCTAAGAGGTGTGACGTCCCTTGGTACCCAAGTGAGTAATGCCTCTAATAAAAATATAGCTAGTGTTTACTGAGCATCTTTAGGTGCCAACACATGTGGCACACCCAGCATGGGCTGATTTATGCAGTCCTGACAACAACTCTACCAAGGCAGTGCTGTGCTTATTCCCAGTTTGTAAAGACTATTGTTATTGCCCCAGTTTAAAATGAGAAAACCAAAGTACACATGGAAGTTAAATAACTTGCCCCACTTACACATCTGGGAAGCAGCAGATCCAGCATTGAAACCCAGGCAGTCTAGTCCAGAATCTCAAAGTCCTAGCTGCTCTCCTATATTGTATTTCATAATATAATTGGGTAAGATGTTTCTTAACATCTCTGGCTGTTAAAAATGGGTTTGACAATGTGAAGACTATAACGTAAGAATGCTGATGGAATCAACTGATATTATATGCCTGAAGAGAACTTTGGGAATTATAAAGCATTATATCAGTATCAGCAATGACAGAAGGAATGGAAGGCTGAGTGTGGGGCCTCCCACCCACTTAGAAGCGAGTATGTCAAGTGCAGGTGCTACAGTTATGGTTGAGGAGGCCAAAAAGGCCCTGTGGAGGACTTCCCTTCCTGGGTAAAGGACACGATATTGGAAGACCTTTGTTACTAACTTCTTCCTTATCTGGGATGTGGCTGTAGTGTCTAAATGTGTAGTAATGACTCTGTGGCTACAGAGATGAAAGCCACCCTCTCAGGATGAGGAGAGAGAAGACACCATAGAACAGCTTCTCAGCCGACTGCTCACCCCACACTTTTTAAAAAAGACACAAATAAGCTTGAATGTGCTGCACAGGCTGAGAGATTTGCTTCATCCTAGCTCCTTCCTTTGATCTTTTAGTCTTCATTCAAAGAATTAACAAACCCTTAGACCAAAGCCTCATTATTGCAAACATCCTGGAATATTTTACAGAAGGCTTCCTATTTGGACTTCCTGCTTCCAGATTCACCGCACAAGTAACCCAACCTCCATCTAGGGCCAGAACTTTTTTTTTTACTAAAACACAAGTCTAACTGGGTCACTCTGCTGCCTAACTTGCTGTCATGACCCCAGTTAAGATGAGACACAGAGCACAACAAGGAAGGGTTGCATGGTTGACTCCTGAATGCCATTCTGTTCTATCTGCCACTCTATTCAATGTGCCCTCAGGCCTGAGCCACATATCAGTACCTCCTCAAAAGAGCGTGGTTTTCCTCTAGGAACTTCATGATTCCTGTGCCTAGAAGATCCTCCCTCCTCTTCTACCCTCCTGTAATATTCTGACCACTTGGGGATAAGATTCCTACTTCATAAGTCACATCAAAATAAATTCAAATGAATAGAAAATTTAAAAGTACAAAAACAAAACCATAAATGTACCAGCAGAACATATGCACAAATAATTTCCCCCTTCAAATTAGGAGTCTCAACAAACTACAACCTAAAGGCCAAATTCTGCTATAGCCTTTTGGTTTTTTTTTTTTTTAAGTATCCTACAATTTTTCATTCCTAAACAAAGGAAATAGAAGTTTCCATAATCCACTGAAGCAAAAAGCTTCTGAAGTCCTTTCTAACTCTCATTTTAAAAGTTGAAAAGGTCTGGGTTATGCCCAGGTATAACTGGGCCATGTTTTGTTCTGACCTCACAAGAAGCCACCATGAGGGAATTTCAAACACCACGGACAACCTGTAAATAAGTGGACATGGTGTGTTATAATAAAACTTCATTTGCAAAAATATGCTCACAGACCTCTGGGAGGGGCCTAAAGATTAGGAAAGAGATTCCTTCTGGCCAAAGCAACCAGCTCAAACTGAATCATGGCTACACTGGTTAAGGGGAGAATCTCCATCTACACTAAGAGGAGCAAGTCTCCATCTTCAGTGACTTCACTTCACTCACTTCAGTGCAAGTGAATCCTCACTACACTAACTCAAGGAACATAATACAGGAATGTAAAAGGCTGGCTGTGGCTCTTTTGTTCATAAATACAGGAAGCACTTGATGGTGACCCATCAAACTCCCAGATAGAGCATTTGGTGGTTGTGGTCTTTTGATATTCATTATTTGATTTGGGTTTCTGTTTTGTTTTGTGGAGTCTAGGTGTGTGTGTGTGTGTGTGTGTGTGTGTGTGTGTGTGTGTGTGTGTGTTGTTTTGTTGTCACTGCTGTTTTAGCTAGCACCCTTAGTTGGTGTAGTAAGAGTAGTCAGAGTAGTGTGGTGTTGCAGGAACCAACTCCTGCTATGAGACTACCTTCACAGTCCATTATCAGGCCTGAGACACATCAGGCAGGGGGACTTTGGCCAGGTAAATCTAGTCTGTCACCTCTTCACCAGTACAGGGGTGGCAGTGAAAGTCCTGCCAAAGGTAGAAAGGAATTTCCTGTTTTATCCAAGCCAGATATGCTAATGGCTGTGGAACACTAAAATGTGATCCAGCTCTTTCAGATCATTGAGCCCATGTAAAATATTTATATTATCGTGGAGCATGCAGGTGGGATACAGCTATGGCACCACATCTAAGAGACTAGTAGGAGGAAGAGGCCTGGAGACTATTCAAACAGATTGCAAGCACCATGCACTACTGCCATGAGAAGGGCATTGTGCATCAAGACCTGAAGGCAAAGAAAACCAGATGGATGCCAGAGGCAACATCAAACTCATCAACTTCAGCCTGAGTACCAGGTGCACAGCTGGGCAGAAGCTGAATAAATTTTAGTACTTGAAGTCATCCAGTGGTAAGAATATGACTCCCCACTCTTTCCCCGGCTGAAGTCTGGAGCCTTGGTGTATTCTGTATTTTATGGTCACAGAGAGATCCCCATTTAGGGGGACCACCAGTAAGCAGCTGAAGGAGCAGATCATGTACATAGGTATGACATTCTCCCACACATTGCCAATGGAGCATAGAGCCTCATCAAATACTGATGGTGGACCTCATGCAAATCATGGGGCACCCATAGATGAGCCAGGGTGAGGAATATACACCCAATCATTCTAGTGAGCCATTCCCCAAACACTTCAGACTCTGCAATTATGATAATCATGCTTGACATGGGTTATGATCCATATAATACTTGGGTGTCCCTGGAAAATAAATAAAAAGGATGAGGTAATGGCTACATACCTGATACTTCAGCACCAGAAAACTCCGGGGGCAGGCTGCATGTTCCAGGTAAAGTTTGTACTTTGGAGGACTGGGCCTTGCCCAGGGTCTGCAGATCCTTTCCCTGTCCTTCCAAAGAGGGTGCCTGTGAGCCTGCACTTCCCACCTTCCCCTTGCCCTGTGACCAGCAGCTGCCTGAGGAGGTCAAGCAGTCACTGTAGAAGGGCAATGGAAGGGCCATCATGCCTGCCATTCACCTCTGCTCCCTGTGTGCATGGACCTCACTCCCAGCATGGCCTCACAGGGTGACCCTGTGTTCCCCAGGCTCAGCTCCTGGAGAATCATCAGTAGATGAGGCACAGAGAGCAGTAAGTCCTCCCAAGGTACCAGAAACAAACTTACCCTCCACAGGACAACCCCATGACAACAGCAAAGGCTAGAAGTGGGAGACTAGAAGGATCACCGCCTGCATTCAACAGCTGTGCTTTTGTATGCCATGCTTCTGTGGGATGGCATTCAAAAGAAAGAAAGAAAGGTGGGGAGGGAGGAAGGGAGAGAGACGGAGAGGGAGGGAGGGAAAGAGGGAGGGAAAAAAGTGGCTGTAATGAAAGCAGAAATATGCTAGATTCAGTGACTCCAATGAAAATGGAGATCTGAGAGAGACAAAAACCAGTGGACAGCCAGAAGACTGTGAGCTCTGTGAATCCTGGTGTCATGGTGTGGATCTGTCAGGTGTGGAACAGTGAGGTGTGGAAACTGGCTGCAGGAGTGAGGTGTGCAAACTGACTCAGGCTTCTCTGTAAGGATTACAGCCAGGAGCACATCTGGATCCACCAGGAGTATCCTCTGCTCCCATCTTGAGCCAGTATAAATGGGGACTCACTTCCTTAAGCCAATGTAGACAGAGAGTTGCTCCCCTTGACTTAGTGTAGATGGAGATTCTCCACTTTGAGCTGATTGTTCTGGCAAGAAAGAATCCCAGTCTTCAGACCCCTCCCTGAAGTCCTTGTGGCCTGTTTTGCAAATAAAGTTTATGGGAACACAGTCATGCCCACTTGTATACAGGTTGTCTGTGGGCACTTTTGCACTCTGATGGTGGTGTCAAATAGCTGAGATATGACCTGCAAAGCCTAAAATATTAACTAGCTGGCCCTCAACACTGACCACTGACTAATTAAAGGACTAATAAAAGGCAGATCATACTGAAATAAGAAGATGGAAACTTCTGAATAAATAAAACTTAGAAACTATTGATAGCAAAAACACAAACAAAAATGAAAATGAAAGTCAACTGAAAAACTGGAAAGCACGTTCGAAATAAGTATGATGTATTACAAGTTTACCAAAGGAAACAATTAACAAATAGGAAAAGGGATAAATGATTTCAATAGCAAATGGAAAAATAAAAGGGGAAATTCATATGATACAATATTTTCTATCTTGTTATCGATCAAAGAAAGGCAAATAAAAGAATGTATTGCTTCACAATTTACCTGAAAAATCAACAAATGTTTTTAAAATAGCAATACTCGATTGGCAAAGGTTCATGAAATGGTCAGCCTTCAAAGAGATAATAGGAACCCAACTTATGAGTATACTTTTAGAAAGAAATTTGACTTAAAAAAATCAAAGCTATTTCTAACTAAAGAAGCTGTCAGAATTAGGAAATCGCTATTCTAGTCATAGTCTAAAATATACCTTGTTCTAGGGCAACAAGGTTTTGGGTTTCAAAACCTACGTTTTTCAGGAGAAACATGCGATTTTGACTGTCCCCGCACCAGCCTGCAGGTGGAGCCATCTCCAGCACAGACACCACAGTTGTCCTCCTTAGCGTCACTCCCCAGTTGCCGATCGCAGCCCACTGCCTGCAAAGGAAGGACCAAGTGGTCAAAAGCAGGTGAAATCACAGAGGCATGACTATGAGAAAGTCTCTCCTTTATGAAAACATAGTAGAAAATCTTAGGTATGTCATTTATATAATTCTTATGCAAGGTCCATAAAAGAAATGAAGCTGACACTCAAACCTTGCTCTTTTTTTATTTACATTTTATCCAGATACTTTTAAGTATATAAAATAAAAAGAAGCATTATAGATGTTTCCTCTTTGTCTCCCCACCATTTTCTTATCTCCCTATCCCCAAAGTTGGTCCATTCTCTCATTTCCTTCCCCAAACAGCCGCTACTGAAACTGGTATACATCCTTCTGTCTGTGCTCTCTACATCTACCCATATTCTACATCTATGTGTCTGTGTCTTTATTCTATGTTTTTACATCTCCTTTTATCATTATCTATGTCTTTGCCTGCATATCTCCACTTTTATATCATTATATCTATTATTTATGAACAATTTTTGAATAGATGTCTTATATGTTTACACTGTTGTTTTCCAGCTTTCAGAGTTAATTAGCACGTGGATGTATGTGTTATTTTCTAGATTGTGAGCTTCTTTATATGAAAAAAGCTGAGTTTTATATTTATATTTATTTCACAAATCTTTTACATTATGTGTGTGCAGAAAAATGAACTGATATGATCCTTTATCTCTGCTTCTCATGCTCATCCAACTTTACATTTGTAAACCTGGTGTTTAAGTCCAGAGACTGTAGAGGCAGAGGGCCATGTATGCATCCTGACTCACCCACTATGCCTTTCAAAGCACAGGACCATTCAGACTCTCAGAAGTTTGTCATGTTGATTTTCCTCAACAGTAAAACAGAGATAATAATGCAAATGTGTACTTCACAGAAGCCTAGCAAAGATTAAATGAGAAAACATATGCAAAACTCTCAGTGTAATTATTAGAACATGACAAAGGGTTGAACAAAAGGTCAATTTTATTATTTACTTCTGCATTCCACTTTTTTTGACTGCAGGCTAGCCCCTGTGCTTTGATTTAAGGAGGTGCTGAATCAGACTCTACACCCAAGGTGTTGAAGAGAAAATAAGACTGGAGGAAGTTCAAACCACATCTAAGGACTATTCTTTCCAAAACTTAGTGTTGATGGGAAGGAGAAAGATGAAATGAATTTTTCAGGGAGAAATAGGAAAAGTTCCAAGGAGCTCTAGGGAATAGCTTATGCTTAGAGATATTTTCGAATTCACAAAGATCTGTCATGAGGAAAGGGTCTCCATTTGTTCTTTATGTTTCCAAACCGGTGAGAGCTATAAATTTAAGCATAATTTAGTTCTATATGAGAAAGTTTAAAAAGTCAGAGACTTCTTGGCGGGAAAAAACATAGAGGGGATTAAATTATTGGATGGGTGGCTGAATCCAATTACTTTTGAGATCCTTTGACCCTTCTTACATGATTTTATAAAGAAACTAATAAAATATTAATAATAACTGTTTTTTATAGAATGTTTACAGTTACCTGGCATGCCTTATGTGCTGTACACGTTGTTTCACTGAATCTTCACAACAATTGTATGATTTAAGTGATACTTTCTATCTCCACATTACAAATGAGGACTCTGAAACATTACTGAGGTTAAATGACTTGCCAACATTACACAGCAAGGATATGGTGTCAATATTGGTTTTAAAACTCAGGTCATCTGACACCAAAATCTTAATGCTGTTATACCTTCCTCCACCTTGAGGATCAGCAGATGGACAGCAAACGTTTCAGGCATACAGGTCATTATTTGAATATTTACAAGTACATGTGGAACAACTTAAGAGTGATTGATTTTGGAAACATACTTGCATGGTTGGGATTTGACCAGTGAGTAACTGTGTTCATACAACTTTCTCCAAGGGGAATAATTCTACCATGAAATTATAGAAATACTCTTCCTTGGCCAAGCTCTGTCCTCACAGATCCATGTCCCTGAGCACTTTGCATTTCATGAGAATGAGAATCACCCTCTATCTGGTCATCCAGGAAGGGTGTGGGTTTAGGAGCTAGGATGGGCTTGTTTTGAAGAGCGTTCAGAGTCTTGCAAAATCTCAGGCAATCAAATTCCTCCCTGATCACTTATACTTGCTTCATAAGTTTTTTAAAGTTAAAATTCATCCAAATATTACAGCCAAATAAAGCATATGAAAACATCACAGAAAAATGGTATTAGAAAAGTTCGGTTGCCTTGTGATTCATAGAGTATATCCCAGAACTGCCCTTGAAATTGAAGGATGACTGAATTTTGGCTGTCATAGCCCACCATAATCAACAACAAGCAACTTTCATGAAATTGCCTGAAACATTTTCAACTTCTGTGCCATCTCCTGATGTCAGGATATCTAATTACAGTGATTTATAAACTCTAATGGATAAGCATACCAATAAAATGTATTAATATCTAATAAATAACAATTTTCAGTGCTGAGTATAAATTAATAAGATTCTTATCTTACAGTGTAGTTAATAAGACAAGTTACAAGATAAGGGTAACATAAACAAATATTTTAAATATATGAGCGGGGTGTTTTGAATTAAACATTCGTCTAGAAATCATAATTTGGGGTAAGAAGTATTTCACAGTTCCTACATGATTTCCTAATCAGCTTCTTAAAAGAAAAGAATGTTTAAATAAGTGCCATTAATCCAAATTAAGCAAAACATGAATTTTCCAGATAGATCTAATTTAATACTTGAAACCAATTTTTTTTTTCAATCAACTTCTGCTTCAGATTTGAGAAAACTGGATTTTACCTAAGAAAAATTCTAACATTTCAGGCTTAAAAATCAGAGTACATGGAGTTGTGGTAGTCATTAGGGATATTCATAAACATTTCTTTCTTTCAGCCCAGGGAAGGACTACACTTCCCCACACCTGCTAGAAGTTACAAGTGTTCATGTCTTTGACTAATGAAATAGGAGCCTAAACAACCTGTATCCCTTATTATTATTGTGTAAAAAAATGTGTTCAAATAAAGCCTATCAGCCTGAGTCTCTGGGACATCCAAAGAGCAGAGACCCACTGACCTGTTGGACAAGTAGCATTCATGAGAAGTAACCTTTAATTGTGTAAGCCCCAGAGCTTGGGGGTTTAATGGTTTCTGCAGGAAAACCTTGTGTATATTACACAGCAGCACGATTTAATCATTCATTCATAAAGCACAGTTATTAATAGCAAGGTGAGTTTAAGAATTGAAAGTCTCACATTAAAATCCAGATTTGGGGATTGACAAAAAATAAAAATAAAAAAAAAAGAAACATTACTACAGCTGCTTCCTTCACAATGAGCAGGCATGTTCCAGTTCTCCAGCCCTCTCCACTCACAGGACACACCTTAGTAGTCTCCCTCCCAGGGAGGATGCAGACATTAGAGTTTGAATCTCTATACTAAACTACCTAGGCATGATTCCCAGGTTGTACTAACTGTCCTTTACTAGAATCAATTTCTATTTTCGGTTGAACTGTGGCTATACTTGTAGCCATATAGAACTTATCATCAGTATGGTACAGTGGTTAAGAAGACGGATTCTGGAATTAGGTTGTCTGGGTTGCCAACTCTGTTGTTTTCTAGCTCTGAATGTTTGGGTCCACCAGAACTACATGTACGAAAACATAACCTCCAGGGTAATGTATTAGGAAGTGGGGCATTTGGAGGCTAGTAGGTCATGAGGGTGGGGCACTTATGAATGGGACTAGTGCCCTTTAATAAGAGGAATAGTTAATAAGAGGAGTAGAGACTCCCTTGCCCCTTCCACCACATGATGACATGGGCACCTATGAACCAGAAAGTGGGCTCTCACCAGTCCCTGAATTTAACAGCACTTTGATCTAGGATTTCTCTTCTTTCAGAACTATAAGGAACAATCTTTTATTATTTATAAGCTATCCAGTCTGTGGTAGTTTGTTATAGCTGCTCAAATAGACTAAGGCACTCTTAAACCTGGGAAAATTGCTTAGCTTCTTCAATTTCCACTTTCTTTATAAATCTACTTCATCAGGTTATTTTTTTTATATTAAAGTGCCTAGAGAATGCCTGGAAAGCACACAGCATCAGGTTATTTTTTTTATATATATATTAAAGTGCTTAGAGAATGCCTGACCCCTGGAAAGCACACAGCATTAATTGTGGTTGTTGTTGTTGTTATTATTTTGGTACCAGGGATTAAACCCACAGGTATTTAACCACAGGCCATATCCCCAACCCTTTTTAAAGTTGCTTTTTTTGTTTTTAAATTTTGAGACAGGATCTTGCTAAGCTGCTGAGGGCCATGCTAATTTGCTGAGGCTGGCTTTAAACTTGTGATCCTCCTATGTCAACCTCCCAAGCTGCTGGGATTACAGACATCCACCACAGCACCTAGCAGTTTATTATTTTTATTATAAATTCTAAGTGGTTTCTTCCTCTACTCAACTTTCAGGGAATTCAATATATATAAATGATAAATCAAATTTGATTGCAGTACTGGTATGATAAAAATCAGAAGAAAAAGCAAATTTTATCCAGTGGCACAGTCATCCCATGCTGTCTGCTGTGCTCAGGCTAGTAGAAAGTTGTTACCAGAGAGCTATGACATGTAGATGTAAATGAGCAAACTGTAAACACACCTGCAAAAATCATTTGTAGTCTGTGCCACGTAATCCTCAGGCTCACTTCCTAAAGCCAGCAAAGCAAATCACACTTTCTTTCCCCAATGACTGTGATGTCCATAGCCATATTTACAAGAAAGGGAATTTATGTGACAATAAAATTGAGTCAAAGTCATGGAAGGAAAGATACTGTTCAAGGGAAGGCACTGAATTCAACTGGGAAGCATCTGAATCACTTCTGAGGAAGCACATCCAACTTCTTTTACTTGGAAAGCCTGGCCAAAAGAGCAACCGGCTTTTAGCAACCAGGTATCACCTGTTATTCCCTCCAAATGGGCTTTTCACAAAACTATAACATGAAGGGCTCAGTTAAAATGG